TGAGGCGGCATTTCACAAGGTACAAGAGGTTGTGATAGGTATGTCCTAACAAAGCCCTGGGAGTAAGGTTCCAGTTTGTCTCGATTAAAAAAACCTGTTCTACTTACCGGTACCCCAAGCATATCAGTCTATTCACCCATATACAAAACAAACACCAAAACACGTCCACTTTTCCAGTTAGCCTGTTTTCAAAAAAATCAAAGGAAATAAATGTACGAATAACGTACGGGAAACTAAAGATCCTACGAAATATAGAGAATTAATAATTTATAAATAAAAAATAAATATCTTTCGAAACATTATCAGCAGATTTTGCCCTTAACACCCATTCAGCGGATAGGCCTTGCGGTTTAAAGTAATAATGAATACCGCGGCTTCACCGTGGATCACCTATTAACTGTGTATGCTACTGCCAAAACCGAAAACTTTCTCTGGCCCATTATGTCCTCCCGAGTGTGTCCCCACTTCCCCAAGCCCATTATGTCCGCCCATCATGTCCACGCGCCCAATATGTCCGCCCTGTTGTGTCCACGTACGGCCTATGTGTGATAATCATCAGCTATTTTTGAAACAGTAAGGCACGACGGCACGATACGACCGACGACAACACGACTGTGCTACGATGGTTGCGTTAAGCATCCCCTGTAAATAAGGTAAAATCAGTATTGAATAACCTGTATCTTGGACATCAAGAACTGGATGTCCCAAAACAAGCTTCTCCTCAACAATGCTAAATCAGAATTGTCTGCTGTGGTCCAACCCAGGGTAAATAAATTAACAAACTCTCTGTCGGGTTTGAAAATACCACAATACTCTACCCGATAAAAAACTGTAGGTATTGTGTTTGATATTGCCATGAGTACGTCACAGCATATTTCGTCAATTTGCAAAAGGGTAAACTTATCTATCACGTGTTTGTAACAAGGGCTCGAACTGGCCATCAGGCCAGTTCGAGCCCTTGTTGCATCCTGGCTTAACAATGAAGAAATTCGCTTCTTCAATGTTTATTAGGCAAAGACAATAATTAAACGAGTCCAACGACTCCAAAATAGAGCAGTTAAACTAATCTTTATATGGTTCCAAAAAGTCGAACCATGTCACACCTCTTTTTCAACAGCTCCACTGCTTCCCATTTAGAGGGAATCATTTTTATTGACAATCACAACTGTTTGTCTATTGTGTCCTTCCTGATACTGCTTTGTTAATCGAAAGAGGATCAGGCAATAGGTGGTACGAACCCACAGAAAGCGTTACTTGTCAAATTCAACGCGCTAAAGAAGTCGAAGGGATTGGAATGGATGGGCACTAGAGACACTTGAGCAGCACTGAATCACGAAGAACGAGCTCATGGATCTGACGGTGATAATGACTGAGATATCGCAGAATCAGTTGAAGGAACCGAAGGAGATGATTGGCAGCGTGCAGGAGTCTCAGACAAACACCAAAATTATCATGTGTGACCTGGGGCTGAATCTTGTAGTGAATTTATTAGGTAAACACTTGACAATTTGATTCATGTTGACTGTAAGTTTGCCTAGTAATTAAAATAGAACAGTTGTTGTTATGACACAATATGGGCATTGTTCAAAGTGGGTTAAAAAATAAAAATGGACATTTGTTAAAGGTGGCGTTGTTCATAATCGCCTCTTTCCAATACGGGTCTCTTGCCCAACAGGTTGGGGTAATTAAGGGTCGTCACACCCCCATGCTATTTTAGACATACGAGGTCATCACTCGTCCAATTCTAAACACCACGCACACCTTTTGCTTTTCTGTAATGGTTTTCTAGCCCGTGCTTTCAACCTCACCTTAGTCTTACTTATAGGTAAAACGTCTATGCGACGTAGAACTTCGGAGATTCAAGTATCCCTCCAAAGTGAAGAATCTCCACACGAACGTATGGAAACCTCTAATCATCCAGGGAAGTGGACTGGAGCATGGCGAGTTTGAATTAAAGGAAACACTGTGAATAAAGAAGACACTCTCAGAACAACTGCAAATGACATACGGCCATTTGCACGCCATACGCCTGTAGCGACAGTTCAGAAATTATATGTCCTGGCCACAGTATGTGGTCGCACATGAACTTAACACCACACCGCCTCAGTGGCTGTGTTCAAGATTCTTCATGAATGATGTATATGGTTCATGGCGAATGAAAATTGAGTGACCCAGAAAATAATGAATCTCAAAAAGATACTAGTGATGATTTTAGCCTGAAATCATGCAAAGAATTATAGTGGGAAATATTTGCTTGTTTCATGTGCAAAGGTAAGTATGCAATATTAGGGGCACTGTGTAGGCCTGTACACATAGGCCTTCGCGATGATATCATAACGCCAGAGGTAGCCTCATAACACCATGATATTATATTGACTGAGTCTTCTGGGTTGGTCTATATGCATAAATCTGACAAGTTCTCTTGTACTAACAGATACCCTAGATGAGTTTAGTGTCATCTTTTGGTGCGAAGCATCGGCACGTTTCTAGCTTGTGCATTTTACCTTGATGTGTCCGTGAAGAGTTCACGGCTACCGAACTCTGTCGTCATTGACGTATTTGTTGTCTTCTCTGCTCTTTGTTGTGCTGCCACTAAACTGGTCTGCGCCTGTTGAAGCTGTAGTTTCAACAGGCTATTCTGCGCCACCAGCAGCTCCTTGACTTTTTCCAAGTCACGGTTCTTGGCAAGGAATTCTTGTAATTCGCCCTCACCCTTCAGCATGTCTATCCGCTGCAACATCAACTCGTCTTCCACAGCCAGTTGTTCAGCAGTCACCATTATGATTGTACGTGGGTGATGATTCGCAGGTAGGTGATGTCACAGGCGTAGGTGATGATTCCCTGGTAGGTGATGTTACAGGCGTAGGCGATCTGGAGTAGCGAAGAAACGGCGCCTATCCCACTTCTGACACCAAATTTGTACCGGTAAAGCCTCTGAGGACTTCCTGGGTCGGTCTCGACCGATAGCGGTGAGCGGCCTGACCTCTACGGCCCGAGACGCAGATCCGTTTTGGCGGAAGTCTACCGTCAAGCCCGTAACTCGCCACAGACAGATCACTCTCACACACCCTCACACCACACGGGGCTGACAGACGGGGGGACCAACGGGGAAAGAATGTGGGAACTGGATGCAAGTTTGTGCCTACTCTTTGTTCCAGGACTTTATCCTCCTATATAGGCGCACAGTGCCTCACCTACATGTGGTACTAGTAACTAATCACAAAATTATAGGTGCCATGATTTATTATCGATCACAAACTAAATCAAGCTCACACAGAGTATGAGGCTCCCCCACTGCGACTACTCGATTGGATGTAAATGATTGGATGATTGCAGCTTACACTATAACTCTGAACCAAACTGCACTTGGAGGTGACGTTTGCAGAAGGCACAGCTTTCCAACTGTACGTGGCGACGGTCGCAGCAGGAACAAGAGCGACTCTTAGCGCGCGGCCGCTTATAAACACAGCGCGCACAACGTTGCTAAGCAACAAGCGTCTGATAGCGCACCAGTGGGATATGCATTGCGTTTCAATAGCTTTTGAGGAACTGTGGAATTTACATCGTACAAGATGCCGACACAGACGCACCTGCAAATGGTCAAAGCCCTTGGTATTGACAGGGACAAAGACATCAGCTTTGCCATGTGCTTCAAGCAAAGCGACTACTGTTTGGTAACAACTCCCTGATACACGTACGCGAACATCGTATCAATGTTCCATTGTAACAGCGCTACATGGAAATCTTGCGTGGGTCCGGAGGGCTCGGGGTAGTGGCGTATCCATCGGGGGGGGGGACTTTTCCCCGACGAATTTTTCACTTTTCTTTTCATTTTAATATTTATCGAATGTTAATTGTAATATCTATGTATCAAACATAGCAACAAAACCCTATAAGAAAATAATACCATGAAATTAAGCTAGGATTTGGGGACCGCGAGTAAGGCTTGTGATATTTTTTCATTTTTTCTCCCCCAATATCATGTAGAGTAATCCCGAAGCCTCATTCGGTTTTCAATCCCCCCACCAAAGGGGTAAAATGTAACTGATTGTTATTCTGAGGATTACACAGGCCAATGGTACATGTAAACTTCTGCTCCACAATAGATTTGCCCGCACGGCAATTTCAAATTCCGAGCGGGTTCATCATGCAGTTACATTTTATTTCTGAACAAAACACACCATTACCAAATTAAAAAAGGGAAATTCTCTTCGTGTAATATTTAATAAGCGGGACTTGAGCTTTTCAACTCCACTTCAAAAAAATCCTCACTGATCACAGACAAATATTTGAAAGCTTTAACAACAGTGTTACGAATTTTTATATGCTATTGCTGCAGATGACAGAAGAGTCCGTTAATTATTATGCACCCCCCGCAGATTCTTTTGATTGCGCCACTTTCTGCCAGTATTTAGCAAGTTTCTAAAATAACTGATTTATTGACTAGAGAAATGTGGAAGGGCCGCGTAGCACCGTGATCAGAAAAATATGGAAGGTCTGCGTAGCACCTTGATCAGAATATCGACAAGAATATAATATGAAATCAATGCTCTGAAATATATGATTGCCGAGCTTTCGGTAACTGAGTACTTTCTTCGGGGCAAGCAGATTCAGTTCTGAATGAACG